TATCAATAGGTTAATTCCTTGTCCAGTCAGTCTGTGGTGGTGGAGGGTCCATTATTGGAAGGTTATTTGAATCTTATTGTGGAGCTGCTGACGTTTTCCTCAATTGAGGAGAGACACAGTTTAGGGAGTAAACCAGGAGGAATGAACCTCATACCTGTAAGGACACTGTACATGTGAATTATTACATGTGTATTTGATGCTGTTGTACATGTGAATTATTAGTTAATACTGTTGTACTTCTACATGTACATGTATACATGTAAATACAGTACTTATACATGTAGATGTACTTTTATAAGATTTAAACTGTGGTACATGTTCATGTGGAATAGCTTTTGGAATGATAGCTTGGCATGATATTGCTTTTTTTCAGCAATTCCACTTTTTATGTAAATTCTTTTCTTTTTCTCAGAACCTCATCAATCATTTCTTGTTTCCAGCCTCAAGACTAGTGAAGAAACTAAATACTACACCTGGTAATGACTGATACATTATATTTATTATTATTATTATTATTATTATTATTATTATTATTATTATTATTATTATTATTATTAATAGATCTACAGTACAATGATGAGTTAGCTAGTGGTATATGCTCCAGTCCTGACAGTATTCAAGCTTGTTATAAACTATTGAATGCACTTTGTGTTGGAGTGAAGGAGAACATTGAAATACTCAGTGAACTAATCTCTGATATATTCTACAATGGTGAGGCTATTACTACTAGTATTAGCATCAACAAATAAGTTACTGTATAAGTGGTTTTTTTGAGGGAATTATTATTTCGGGAAATCTGCTAAATTTGGCTAAATTTCTAATTTGTGGATTTTCAATTTCGCAAGTTATACATGTGCCATGTGCCATGTGGGTGCTGTATTAAATTGATTTTTGGGGATTTAATTTTGGCAAATCAGGAAGGAATTAGTGAAATTTACAAAATTTGCAACTCTTGAAAAAAACCACTTATACTGTACTTTATTTGTGAATACAATAAAAGCCCAAACTTTAAAGAATTTGCAATACTTTTATTTTTTATTAATCCTCCAGATGAGCCTCCATTGGTGGAGTGGGAGTATTATCCTCACGTTGGTCCTCGGCCCACTAGAGGGTATGTGGGACTCAAGAATGCTGGAGCCACCTGCTATATGAACGCTGTACTACAACAAGTAATACCTAATATATACATTTATTTATTTGTTTGTTTGTTTATTTATTTATTTATTTATTCATTTATTTATTTATTTATTTAT